GGTTTATTTAAAGGGGGCGTGGTTTATTTATTGGGGGCGTGGCCTCCTCCTGGGCGGGGTTTTCCGGCGGATCCGACGGAATCGTTCCCGGTTTTCCAAGGGAATTCCCGAAAAATCCCCCGGAATTCCCGAAAATCCACGGAATTTCCAGAAATTGCACGGAGCTTGTGATGTTTATTYAATAAATGCCATGGAATTCCAGAAAATCCCACAAAATTTTCATTTTTCCTGCAGAATTCCCACAGAATTCCCACCAATCCCACCAAATTCCCATTTTTCCCACAGAATTCCCACAAGATTCCCACACAGTCCCAAAAAATTCCCATTTTCCTCCCAAAATTCCCATAAAATTCCTTCTTCCCACAAAATTCCCACAGACTTCCCGTAAAATTCTCATTTTTCCCACACAATTCCCACTTTCCCCACAAAATTCTCATGGAATTCCCAAACTTCCCACAGAATTCCCAGAAAATACCCACAGAATTCCCAAAATTCCCACAAATCCCACAGAATTCCCATAAATCCTCCAACATTCCCTTAAAAATCCCCCAAAATTCCCATTTTTTCCTCAGAATTCCCACAGAATTCCCATTTTTCTCACAGAATTCCCAAAAAATTCCCCGGAATTCCCAAAAATTTGGGGGATTTTTTTGGAATTTTTTGGAATAAACCTCGAGAAACTCAAAAGGATCCAAAATCCACGATTTTTATTTGGAATTTTCCCAAAATTTTGGGAATTTTGGGGGTTTTTTGGGATTTTCAGCGGTTGGATTTGGCCACGCGCTCGAGCTCGTCCTTCTTCTTGATGGCGTAGGAGTTGGAAGAGCCCTGAAAATGGGGAAAAACGGGAAAAAATGGGAAAAGTTGGGGAAAAATGGGAATTTTGGGGATTTTGGGGGAAAATGGGGGAATTTGGGGGAAATTGGGGAAAAAAATGGGGAAAAAATGGGGAAAAAATGGAGAAAAAAATGAGGGCAAATTGGGAATTTTGGGCATTTTGGGGGAAAAATGGGGAAAAATTGGGAATTTTGGGGATATTGGGGGAAAAATTGGGAAAATGGGGAAAATTTGGGGAAAAAATGGGGGAAAATGGGGAATTTTGGGTGGAATTTGGGAAATTTTGGGAGGAATTTTGCGTGGAATTTTTCGGGAATTTTGGGCAGGATTTTGAGGAATTTTTGGGGGATTTTGGGTGGAATTTTGGATGGGATGTTTTTGGATTTCTGGATGGGATTTCCGGGAATTTTGGGCAGGATTTTTGAGGAATTTTGGGCGGGATTTTTGGTGGAATTTTGGGCAGGATTTGGGGGAAATTCTGGGAATTTTAGATGAAAATTTTGGGGAATTTTGGGCAGAATTTTGAACAGGACTTTGGGAATTTTGGGTGGAATTTGGGGAATTCTTGGAGAGATTTTTGGATGGAATTTTTTGGGTTTTTGAGTAGAATTTTGAGCAACATTTTTGGAGATTTTGGGTGGAATTTGAGCGATTTTGGGCGGGATTTTTTTGGAATTTTGGGTGGGATTTTTTTGGGAATTTGGAACAGGAATTTTTTAGGATTTTTTTAGGAATTTGGGGTATTTTTTTTGGGATTTTTCCCCACCTTGGCAGCGTTGATGAGCTCGTCAGCCAAACACTCAGCGATGGTTTTGATGTTGCGGAACGCGGCCTCGCGGGCGCCCGTGCACAGCAACCAGATGGCCTGGAAATGGGGAAAAA